TGTATGTATGTATGTATGTATGTATGTATGTATGTATGTATGTTGTATGTATGCATGTGTGTTAGTATACTACTACTACTACTACTACTACTACTACTACTACTACTACTACTACTACCACTACTACCACTACTCCCACTACTACCACTACTACTACTACGACGACGACGACTACTACTAGTACTACTACTACGACGACGACTACCAGAGCCGGAAGAGAAACAACACAGATCAGCAGCACCAGCAACAGGAAAGGCAACAGCAACAACGGCAACAGCAGGAGCAGCGGCAGCACGAGAAAACAATACCAATACCAAAAACACCACCAACAACGACCACGATAACGACAACGACAACGACAACGACGACAACCACAACCAGAACACAACCACAACCACCATCACCACCACCACAACCACCACCACAACCACAAAAGCCGCAACACCAACACCAACACCCACATCATCAACAACAACAACCACAACAACCACAACAACTAGTACTACAATACAACAACCACAACCACAACCACGACGACGATGCCGACAATCTCTGGCCCCTGTAGGTCCGAATCCTTGCCAAGTGCTTTCAGAGCTTGCAGCGCAGCCCTTCGATCCGAGGTTTGATACCGGCAGCACTAGTGTTGCTGTCAATGGCCTTATAACTAGAGCTGCTATATGCACTGGAAACCTCAGTTTGACTCCGCAGCATGCTTGAAGTCGTTGGTGTGCCACTCGGATCTTATGGCAACGCAGAACAGAACAGTTCCCCGTTTCCCAAGCTTCAGGCTTTTCGGGTCTCAGGCTGGGGCAGAACACGGATACCAAAAGACCTAAAGCCTCCTCTAGCTCCAGATTCAAGGCCTGCTGCAGCCGCATCCGCGTGTCCTGTTATGCTCATCGGGGAAAGTCTGTAGACAGCGGTCGCTGTGGCTGGTTCCCCTATCTTCGTGGGCTATGCAATGAGAAGCAGAAGTACCGTAAGCACAGGTTCTAACGGGAGCTAGCTGGAATCAGGTGGCCATGTAGGTCTCAGTCACCTAGGGGTACAAGAGTGAGAACACTGATGTCTGCCAACCCCAGTCCTGCGAAGTGGGCATCTGATCGTCCCCTTCCTCATCACCTCCACCTGGCCCGGATTGGTTCAAGAACGGCTCAGGGGTATGGGGGCTTTCCGTCGAAAGGCTTCCATATGGGCCGGGCGAAAAATCACAGTGGTTCTGCAAGTTACCGGTTTGAAGCTTAAGGTTTGGGTGCTATATTTTGTTTGGCTTGTTGTTGCTGTGTTGGATTCACTTCTATTTGTAAACATTAAGGGCCGAACCCGAAAGCATGTGCTCGAGCAAAGCTACCTCAAAACACACGCAGAAGACACCGTAAGAGACCGGACCAGATGTGGTGGACAGTCAAAGAACGCACAGAACAAAAAAACGCCGAGGTCAGCTTTGAAGCTCTCTAGTTCATCCCGAGTCCTTCAGTTTCCACCACCTGGGACACTGCCTTTGCCATGTAGGCCTTGGTAACCAGAAAGCACCTGATACCTTGCTCCAGTACATGCCGGAACCCATTGTCAGTATGCACTTTTGATCCCTATAGGCCCCGGTTTACAAGCTCTTGCCGTCCATGAGTGGAAGGGCGGGCCAGTGTGCAAGCATTCTCTTGTTCTTCCAGGCCTACTACATTGACTACAAGCCATATCGTACATGAAGTTGGAGGAAAGGGCAGCTCACCTGTTCGAGCTTGTCCGAAACTTCCATTTACCGCCCCATTGCACGGCTTCCCATTCTCAGGTGGACATACGCGGGAGAACAAACAGTGGTGACATGCCTGAGATGTCGATGAAACCGCTTCAGAGTCTCGACCCCGAGAAATAAACGCTCAAACATTCAGAGCAAGGCTAGATATCCAAGATTTAACCCCAAACCCTAGAAAACTCGCAAAACCCTTATGACACCGGTATAAACCCCCTATGGAGCAGCTATTGAAAACAGTTTAGAAGCCGTCGAAAATTGAGGCGGGCCTGGATTGGACACGGTCGGAGGTTCCACGTCCTCTTCGGGGAGCAGCGTCGTGGTGGTGTCCGGCGGGGTGCCTCGCGCGAAATTACGGCTTGAGGCTCGAAGTCAAGGGGCAAGGTCGGATTGTGAGGAATTTAGACTTCGAAACGACCGGCGCCTTTCCGAGACGTTAATACCACAAGAAAGAACAACCAAGTATCCACTCCTCTTTTAAGCAACCCCGACAAAACAGTCGCCAAACCTGGCAACAGCCATCACCAAACCTCAGTCTCCACCAACACAGCAATCGCCTGAGGCCCTAAGTTCTGATGAGTTTCGTAGATCTCGGGAAAAGATGTGGGTGGGCTGAGGGTTTGGGTTTTGGGATCCGTCAGCGGGTTGCTGACCCCTGGCATTTGTAATGCTATCTCGCCAGCAGCCAGTATGGTGCACCCAGCCCCCAAGCAAAGGTTTTCATTAGGCTGCTGAAACTCCAGGGCTCTGAGCTACGACAGTTTGGGCGCTGGGTCGTTGTGGCCGATCACCTTTTCTGAAAGTCTCAAGTTGTTCTGGAGCGGTTTGCTGCTTGTTTACAAACTCTCTGTTTCAAGCGGTTTGCTCTTTCTTCTGAAACTCTCTAGTTCCTTTCGAGCGTTTTGCTCCTTGTTTTCAAAGTCTCTCGTCTCTTTCGACCGGTGTGTTCCTTCTTCTGAAATTCTCCAGTTCCTTTCGAGCGGTTTGCTCTTTGAATTCAAACACTCTAGTCTCTTTGGAAATTCTCTAGTCTCATTCGAGCGGTTTGCTCCGGTTTTTCGGTATCCCTGGTCTCTTTACAAATTCTCTAGCTTCTTTCGAAATTCTCCAATCTGTTTCGAGCGGTTTGCTCCTTCTTCTGAAATTCTCTAGTTCCTTTGAAGCGCTTTGCTCCTTGATTTCAATTTCGCTGGTCTCTTTCGTAATTCTCTAGTCTCTTTCGAGCGGCTTGCTCCTTCTTGTGAAGTTCTTTACCTCCTTTCGAGCGGTTTGCTCCTTGTTTTCACATTCGCTGATCTGCCCCTAGTTTCTTTCGAGCGGTTTGCTCCTGATTCTGACATTCTCTAGTTCCTTTCGAGCCCCTGGTTTTTGAATCCCCTAATCTCTTTCGGAAACCCCTGGCTTCTTTCGAGCGGTTTGCCCCTTCTTCTGGAATTATTTAGTCCCTTGCGAGCGGTTTGCTCATTGTGTTTCAAGTCTTTAGTGGCTTTCGACATCCACTAGTCTCTTTCGAGCGGCTTGCTCCCTCTTCTGAGACTTTCTAGCCCCTGTCGAGCGGTTTGTTCTTTTTTCTGAAACTCTCTGGCTCCTTTCGAGCGGTTTGCTGCTTCTTCTGAAATTCTCTAGAGTGTTTCGAAGTTGTCTAGTCCCTGTTGAGCGGTTTGCCCCCTTCTTCTGAAACTCCCTAGTTCCTTTCGAGCGGTTTGCTCCTTGTTTTTAATCTCCCTAGTGTCCTTCGAAAATCTCGAGTTTGTTTCGAGCGGTTTGCTCCCTTCTTCTGGGATTCTGTAGTTCCTATCGAGCGGTTTGCTCCTTGATGTCAACTTCTCTAGTCTGTTTCGAGCGGTTTGCTCCTTCTTCTTCAATTGTCTAGTTCCTTTCGAGCGTTTTTCTCCATGTTTTCAAATTCTCTCGTCTAGTCAAAATTCTCTGGTCGTTTTCGAGCGGTTTGCTCCCTTCTTCTGAAATTCGTTATTTCCTTTCGAGCGGTTTGCTCCTGGTTCCCTAGTCCCTTTCGTAAGTCTTTAGTCTCGTTCGAGCTTTTCGCTCCTTCTTCTGAAATTCTCTACTTCTTTCGAGCGGTTTGCTCCTTGTGTTCAAATTTTCGAGTCTCTGTCGAAATTGTCGTGTCTCTTTCGAGCGGTGTGCTCCTTCTTCTGGCGTTCTCTAGTTCCTTTCGAGCGGTTTGCGCTTTTTGTGCAAAACCCTTGTCTCTGTCGAGCGGTTTGCTCCTTGTTTTCAGCTTCTCTAGTCCCAATCGAAATTCTCTAATCCCTTCCGAGCGGTGTGCTCCTTCCTCTGAAATTCTCTAGTTCCTTTCGATCGGTTTGCCCCTTGTTTCCAAATCCCCCAGTCTGTGTCGAAATTCTCTAGCCTCTTTCGAGCGGTGTGCTCCTTCTGACATTCCCTAGTTCCTTTGAGCGGTTTGCTTTTTGTTTGCAAAGCCCCTAGTTCCTGTCGAAATTATCTGGTCGCCTTCGAGCTTTTTGCTGGTTGAAATTCTCTAGTTCATTTCGAGCGGTTTGCTCCTTTTTGTTTTCAAACTCCCTAGTCTCTTTCCAAAGTTTCTAGTCTCTTTCAAGCGGTTTGCTCCCTTCGTCCGCAAGTCTCTAGTTCCTACCGGGCGGTTTGCTTCTGATGTCAAATTCTCTAGTCTCTTTAAACATTCTCTAGTCTCTTTCAACATTCTCTAGTCTCTTCCGAACGGTTTGCTCCTTCTTCTGCAATTCTCTAGTTCCTTTCGAGCTGTGTGTTCCTCGTTTTCAAACACCCTAGTTTCTTTCGAACGGCTTGCTACTTGTTTTCAAATCCGCAAGTCTCTTTGGAAATTCTCTACTCTCGCTGGAGCGGTGTGCTCTCTTCTTCCGAAATCTACCTCTAGTCTCTTTCGAGCGGTT